GGAGGGGGCCGCGACAACCGCTCGAGTTACATTTTTTTAACTTGAGCGTCAAATTCGCGTGACGTGATCTCGCGGTAGCCAATCAGCGGTGAGGATCTCAGCCTGCCGTCAATGACGTTGAACCACAAAACCAAAACATCAGCCGTTAGCTGTTAGCACTCAGAGCTCACAGCTCCTCATATCTGTTCAGAAACTAGACCAAAGTTAATCAAGTACAAACCACAGACTGCCTGTGTCATGGTAAATACAGTCGCTGCTTTATTTATGTCTGTAGGCCGTTGTTGTGAGTGTGGACGGTCGGAGCATATACAACGTTAGCTTAGCCTGGTCGAACCGATCTCCATTCAGAAAACACGCAATTTAAAAGGTTTTTCTCCTGCCGTCTGTCTGCAGACTTGTCAAAGCATTCATTCATGGTTTTTACTAACCGGTATCAGTATGTTGTTACTTACGTCATGCTGCTTCCCTGATGGCTCCCACAGGATTGTTTTTGACATCCTTGTGGATTCATCTTCTTAATATAGACACATGCATTTCCAAACATTCGGTCTACCTATGTTGTAAATGTATTATCTCTTCAATTTACACACAGCATCTATTGCACGTCTGTGCGTCCTGGGAGAGGGATCCCTCCTCTGCTGCTCTCCCTGAGGTTTCTCCCATGTTCCCCTTTAAACTGGGGGGTTTTCTCTGGAAGTGTTTCCTTGTACGATGTGAGGGTCTAAGGACAGAGGGTGTCGTATTTCTCATACTGATATTCTGAACAAACTGTGCTGTTGTATTTGCTGTAAAGTGTCTTTACTGTAGGGTATTTTTATTATATGTACAGCACTTTGGCTCGACCAAAAATCGTTTAAAAATGTGCTATATAAATAAAAATTGATTTGATTACAATTTAATCACGGTAAAATATGTTCATTTTGTTGTAGTTGTAGCTCCCGAGCCAGCGCGTCTTGTTTGAATGATGGGAGTAAACACAGCTGACAGCCGCAGTGAAACTCGAGCGTTTAGAGTGATAAGGGCGATTAGAGCGAAGCGAGTATTCGCATCGTGTCCGGTGTGAACGCAGCATAAGAGCTCTGGTCAAACTCGAACCCACAACCTTTGAATAACTCCTCTTAAAGTGAAATCTTTATTTTAGCAGGAAGATTTCATCCAAACTAATACTACAACTTTTCAACGGTCATCCCAGTATCTGAAGTTTAACTTTGATTGGACTTCACGGGAGTTTAACTTTGATTGGTTTAACTGGAACCGTAATACTCCGAATTTCCCTGCAGTGTCTAAAGCCCGACTCTGGTGGGACTCGAACCCACAACCATTGAGTCTCTTCTTCAGAGATTGACTAGACGTAAAGAATAAGTAAAAGAATAAAGAGTGAAAGAGAAAGCAGGGGCTGGATGGACAGAAGTGAAAGAGATGTGAGTGAAAGTAAAATAAAAAGTGACGAAGAAGTTGCTCAAACTACATTAAAAGTGTGTTTAAAGGGAAGTTTCTTGGACTAATGGAGGGACAGGGAAGAGGGTGAGGAAGAGGAAGATGCTTCAGTGTCTTCAATCAAACTGAGAAATCCTGCTTCATGTTTATTATTCTGAAAACCCCCGTCATCCCTTATCTCCTTTCAGTTTGACCCTCTTGAGTCTGCAATAAGTCTTCATTTAAAACTGCTTCAAACGGAGATGATGAGCGGGACTGATAAAGGCTTCAGCTCACACTGAGAGGGAAAGGGAAGAGAGGGAGGAATGATGGAAGTTAACGCAGGTGTGTGAAGGACCACCAGGTGACACACACACTTGACAACTCTGCAAAGGATTATGGGATATTTAGAAATCATAACTGTACGAAAGCTGCATCTCTCAACATCAAGAAATGGACAAAATGTTCTTTTACAAGCAAACTAACAAAATGAGGCGTTTATATTTAAGAATGTATGACTTTTTAAGAGTTAGTCAACCAATAGATTAGCCAATCAAAGGAAAAACACAATTTTGATAATAACTATTTGCTTTTTCTGTCAGAAAATGCACTTTTAAGCCTCTAAAATATGGAGATTTTGTGATTTTCTCAGTCTTAAATAAGATTAAGGTGAATATCTTTGGACATTTAAAGACATCACGTTGAGCTTTGAGAAACTGTGATTGACAATTTCTTGTTATTTTTCCCTCATTTCTGACATTTTTAACAATAAAACATTGGTTTTGGGCAAATTAAAGGAGGAAATATATCAGTAGTTGCAGCACTTACATCAACAGGCATTTGCTTGCTCAAAGGCACTACAACATAGACACAAACACACAAACACACAACACACACAACACACAGACAGTGACGTGTGTTTTTTTCTCTACTCAAAGTGTGTTATAAGTGAGATCAATTATCAGAAGGACTTAGCTGTATTATGCCTGCCAACACACACACACACACACACACACACACACACACACACACACACACACACACACACACACACACACACACACAGACACACACACACACACACACACACACACACACACACACACACACACACACACAGACACACACACACACACACACACACACACACACACAGACACACACACACTAACGATTATAAATCCATTAGTGTTTTTCTTAGCCATTAATCGAAGGGCCTTGTTGGCTGAGGATTTAGCCTTGACACACACTCAGTGTACACACACACACACACACACACACACACACACTCAATGATGTGCTTTTAATTGTGCAGCAATGGAGCTCTATGGCACAGAGGAATAATAAAAAGCCGGCTTTGAAAACCCAAATACTTGTTAGTTGAAAAATGAGATTGTCATCAGACTTATATGTGTTTTTGGCCCGTTAAAACATTTATCCTACAGTTTTGTTATCATCAGTTATCTGTTATTATCAGTTCCTCACTTTCTCTCTCCATCACGATGACACACCACACTTTTTTCTGTGTGGGAAGTTTGTTTTTACAAGAAGTGTTTGAAAGATGAGAGAGTGAAAGAAGACGGGATCAGATTCATTTCATCTTACATTGAATTCAAAAACATGGACTATGCCCTTCTTTCGTCCTTTCTTACAGCCCATTGAGGTACATAGAGGGTGGACTCATGGTAAGAGGTGTAAGTTAAAGTAGTAATACCACAATAAAAGAAAAGGCCAGCAAACCTAACATCATTATAAGGATTAACATATAAAGTACTAGTTGTCAAAGTACTCATTCTGTAGCTTGTAACGGATCATCTTAATGCTTTTATGGGTTGGTTTAAGCTACATTAATGCATCATTACTGATTTATTTACATATGTTTTGTACTTATAATCATAATTCTTAAAGTAACAAGTAATACATGTAATGAAAAGTCTCATATTTTCCTCTGCGATGTAGTGAAGAATTATAAAGCATAAGAAAATTAATACTAGAGTAATCTTAAAGCAACTCAAAATGGGTTATTGAATAAATACTTCACCATTGTATATAATGCTAAATCATGTATTTAAATCATTGATAAAAAGACGTTTCAAACAAATGACAGAATTAATCCAGATCAATTTAATCCAGTTTGCCTAACCAGGATTTAAACTGGTTTCAAATCGCCCCATAGCGCCCTCTGCAGGCGGATATGCACACTACAGCATTATGTTGCTATTTCTCTGCAGGACAAGTCATTAAATCAAAGTGGTTCATCCTCTGGGGAGCAGGAGAGGATCAGTAAATATAGTATATGCTTAATCCTGGTAGTTCTAATTTGAGATTTTGGATTACACAGACAATTAATGACCTTACAAATACAATCAGAAGCTTTATGCAATGACGTAATGATGGCATGTGTGTGTTAGAGTGAGAATGCAGTACTTTTAAACACACACACACACACACACACACACACACACGCACACACGCACACACACACACACACACACACACACACACACACACACACACACACACACACACACACACACACACACACACACACACACACACACACACACACACACACACACACACACACACACACACACACACACTGCAATCATGTACAAGTTTTCGAAGACACACGCACCATTACACAAGCATCCCAACTTGAACAGGAAGCATGCACACGTTTACAGCCTGAGAGAAAATCTTCACAAGACATGAAGAGGGAAGAAGCTTTCAAATGGTCAATACTGGGATCGATAGGAAGGCTTTTATTGTGAAAGGGTGTCATGAGAGTCTCCAAATTACCCTTTCCTTTTCATTTCATATGATTTCTATAAAATGGTCTGGTTATGTGTATATATCAACTTTTATCTATTTCCATTTATGTCTCATTGTGCTTGTTGTCTTATTTTGGAGGGGTGTGCCCTTTAAACCCCAGTCCTCTCCTCTGTGGTATTCTATGCTGTTTGTAAAAAATACTCTGTTACATGTAGTGCTGCATGCAAAACTGTACTCATGGTAACAGTACAGTATTAGCAACAACATATACTTACATTACAAAAAGCTGCACCTTTACCAGCTTTGAGAACACTTTAATGATCAATCATTATAAAACATATCATATATATTATTCTGAAATGGACCAATCTGCACAATGACTACTTTTACTGTCGCTGTAACAGAGTATTCATACACTCTGGTACTTCTACTTTTACTGAAGTACAAGATCTGAGTACTTCTACTTTTACAAAATACAAGATGTGATTACTTCTACTTTTACAAAATACAAGATCTGAGTAGGCTACTTCTACTTTTACTTAAGAACAAGATATGAGTACTTCTACTTTTACTTAAGAACAAGATCTGAGTACTTCTACTTTTACTCAAGTACAATATCTGAGTACTTCTACTTTTACTCAAGTACAATATCTGAGTACTTCTACTTTTACTCCAGTACCAGATCTGAGTACTTATACTTATACTCAAGTACAATATCTGAGTACTTCTACTTTTACTCCAGTACCAGATCTGAGTACTTATACTTATACTCAAGTACACAATCTGAGTACTGAGTGTGTTTCCAGTACCTTGGTGTCAGGGGGGAGACATGGAGGTCCAGCAGCCGGTGAAACGCCTCCTCTCCCCGCCTCTCTCTCGGTGTTTCTCCGCTATGTATCCCTCCGCTCCGGACGCATTGGATCAAAAACTTTTTTCAGTTTTCAACAACGTTCCCCTCACACACACTTACACACACACTGAAATACTTCCAGAAACTCTCAGTCCTCCTCCGGTTCGTTCACAAGTTCTTCGGACCAAAAGCAAGACAAAAACCCAGAATCCATCAAATGAAATCGCGCGAGATCTTCAGGTAATCACTAATTAAGCTTTAAATCAAGGTGATGAAGGTTCACGCGGACGGCTCGGTGTCCGCGTGAATTTGGAGATGAGCGCGAGGTGGAGAGGCGACCCGTCTGCTACTGCTGGGAGTGGGGGGGGGAGAGGGGGGAGGTCCAAAAACCATCAGAGAGAGAGAGAGAGAGAGAGAGAGAGAGAGAGGGAGGGAGAGGAAGAGAGAGAGAGAGAGAGCTTCGTATTAATACAAAAAATAATACTTAAAATAATTATAAATAATACAAAAATAATTAATAATAACAACAAATAATTTCAAAAATATAATAATAATACATATAAATCATAATAAAAAAAGATATTATAATAATACAATTATAAAAAGTAAATTATTTTTATAAAATATTATTAAAAATATATAATAATAATAATATAAAATAATAAACAAAATAATAACAAATATAATGACAATAATAATAATAAAGATAATAATACAAATAATCATTTTATTATTATATATATTACACATTAGGTATGCTGTGTTGTACAGTCTGCATTAGAGTTGTAATATTATATTATTAAAAATAAATAAATACATGTTTTATCTTCTTTCCCAAATCTTAAATCTCATTAAGGCGAGATCTCAGTACCTCTCCCACCTCTGATTGGTCAAATAAAATAAAACATATTATTATGAAGTGGGCCATTTTGCGTAGTGAGTACATTTACTTAGAGTATTTACACACTGTGGTATTGTACGAGTGTTTTCATGAGTTTAATACGTTTCCTCTCAGGAGCTCTGACTAAATGAACTCCTTTAACAACTGTAACTGGAACACACACACACACACACACACACACACACACACACACACACACACACACACACACACACACACACACACACACACACACACACACACACACTAATAAGCAACAACAGACAGTAAACAGAGGCTCTCGTCATGGCAACCACAGGTGGAAATTTGAAGGCCGTTCAGCTCGTAAAAAAGCAAGAAAACGACTTAATTAAAAACCTGAAGGAAAATGTGGTAATTAAACTCACTGCCAAAGTATTTGTACCTGTACTTAACATTTAAATATCTATAAATATGTCTGTTTCCTGGGTGGCCCGATTAGTAACACTGTGATCTTCAGAAGTAGGCTACTTGATCATTTATTTGTTTACTGCTTTATATCTATGTTTTTAACTTAAAACTATAATGAGTATTGGAAGCAAAGAAGTCAGTGAATAAAGAAACATCTTGTTTCCATACACTGATAAGTTGGTTAGTGGCCTGAAATAAGGTCTGTGGATTTTAAAGTTTTGTTCTACGTCAGTAAATACCACACTGGTGGATTTAAATATGGCGCTTGCTAACAAGTGTCTGAATGAGACAAATAAACGTCATCACTCCCAACATTAGCCGCCTTTAGCTTAGCGGTGGTGACGTGATGTCATGTGACCGTGCTGTAGTTCCTTTATAGCCCAACATTAGCCGCCTTTAGCTTAGCGGTGGTGACGTGAAGTCATGTGACCGTGCTGTAGTTCCTTTATAGCCCAACATTAGCCACCTTTAGCTTAGCGGTGGTGACGTGAAGTCATGTGACCGTGCTGTAGTTCCTTTATAGCCCAACATTAGCCTCCTTTAGCTTAGCGGTGGTGACGTGAAGACATGTGACCGTGCTGTAGTTCCTTTATAGCCCAACATTAGCCACCTTTAGCTTAGCGGTGGTGACGTGAAGTCATGTGACCGTGCTGTAGTTCCTTTATAGCCCAACATTAGCCACCTTTAGCTTAGCGGTGGTGACGTGAAGACATGTGACCGTGCTGTAGTTCCTTTATAGCCCAACATTAGCCACCTTTAGCTTAGCGGTGGTGACGTGAAGTCATGTGACCGTGCTGTAGTTCCTTTATAGCCCAACATTAGCTGCCTTTAGCTTAGCGTGGTGACGTAAAGTCATATGACCGTGCTGTAGTTCCTTTATAGCCCAACATTAGCCTCCTTTAGCTTAGCGGTGGTGACGTGAAGTCATGTGACCGTGCTGTAGTTCCTTTATAGCCCAACATTAGCTGCCTTTAGCTTAGCGTGGTGACGTAAAGTCATATGACCGTGCTGTAGTTCCTTTATAGCCCAACATTAGCCACCTTTAGCTAAAAAATCATAAAAGGGTGTTAATATGTGTAGTGTAAAATGATTTTCAGCAATAATTAAAAATCCAATGGAAAAATCCCATTGGCTTTATTTGAATGTAACCAGGGAGATGGTACCTTTCATTGTCCACTCCTAAAATACGACATCCCACCTGCTTCTTCTTACGCTAAATCCATTTGAAGTGATTGAAATAAACCTCATATGCACCCCTCAACATGCACACGACACACACACACATACACACACACACACACACACACACACACACACACACACACACACACACACACACACACACACACACACACACACACACACACACACACACACACACACACACACACACACAAAGAGGGACATTCTTGGCCACATCTGTTCCTTCTAAGCAACCAGTTTACCAGTCCGAGTTTTATACTGGACAAACACAACCTGAGGTAAACACACACACACACACACACACACAGACACACATACATTGGTGGAATGCATACACAAACAGAAGCAGATGTAAGCAAGTGTTAACAGGGTAAACACTGCTCTTTGCTGGCCCCGGTCCTGGCAGTGTTATTCCAAACTCAGACATTCCTCAACTCACTTTCCTCCTGACAATTAGCCAATGAGCTGTGTGTGTGTGTGTGTGTGTGTGTGTGTGTGTGTGTGTGTGTGTGTGTGTGTGTGTGTGTGTGTGTGTGTGTGTGTGTGTGTGTGTGTGTGTGTGTGTGTGTGTGTGTGTGTGTGTGTGTGTCCATACTCTAACATGACCTGAAACACTAACCGTTCTTTATCATATTCTTCACTTTACTGTAGAGCTCATTTAGAATATGACTTGTAATTATGGTTTGTTTGTTTTTATTGGACTCTTTTTAAACTGGGCAGACACTTCAGGCTGAACCTATTTTTAAGGCAGAATGTGTCGCCCCGTAAAAAATATTTTAGGGTCCGACAAACTCTCCACAAGATTGGATCGCTGTCTTTCAATCCTCTCTTTACAATTCTCTTAAAATTTCGATTTTTCTTCGTTTACAAGGATGTCAAGATACAGAAATGTAACCACCAACAAAAAAAGGATGAAGTTTGGGTTTTACAGAGACGGGAAGAACGCAATAAATATAATACAAATCCCAGAATACAACCCAAAATATGTACTGCATGCATTTATAAATTGTAAATGTATGTATATATATATATGTGCTTGTACTTCTTCCTGTTGTACCGTGAATACATGATACATGGCCGTTATGAATAAGGTTATAAACTAGGTAATATCCAGGTAAAAGTGACCTATAATAAATATGTTGAACATTCTTCTTCCTCTTCTTCTTCTTCATGTGTTTTGGTTATACTAGATATCATTGTCCTTTCATTTACTTAATTTTCTTAAAAACAACTGTAAATTCAGACAAATGAGCACCAGAACAACGACTTAAAACCTGCAAATTGATCATTCTGGAACCTTTTTTAGTATCTATGCCCGTGTTGCCTATATTGTGATTTTATAAATATGTTTTCTCAACTTTAAAGATCAATATACCCCAAAAACTAAGGGCTTTAAACCATCCTATTGGGACCAAATCAGGACTGAATGGGCTGAAATAAATTCTTCTCTTGTGTGAGTTCAGAGGGACTCGTGGTCTCTGGGTTTCGTGTCTCGGCTGCTTCCTGTGAGCCGGATCAGCTCCTATTGATATTCCATCTTTAATAAGCGACCACATTTCCACTGCTAATGACATGGCGGTGGCCATCTTGGCTCTGTGTGCCGTCTCATTACAGGCAATCTGAGCAACTGATGGCAGAGCGGCATGACGCGCCCAAAACCTCCAGACCTGAGTGTGTGAGTGTGTGAGTGTGTGAGTGTGTGTGTGTGTGTGTGTGTGTGTGTGTGTGTGTGTGCGTGTGTGTGTGTGTGTGTGTGTGTGTGTGTGTGTGTGTTGTGTGTGTGTGTGTGCGTGTGTGTGTGTGTGTGTGTGTGTGCCCACTAACTGATGAAAAGAACATTTACTTAAGTATTGTACTATACTGTTGAGGTACTTTTTAGATATTTCTACTCTTACTAAACTACATATTAAAGTAAATTCGTGTAGGCCAGTTTTTGACTCCACTACTTTTATTTGGCAGCTACTTACATACCTTTACTACGGGGAAAAATACCTTTAATAAAGTACTTTTACTGTAACAGAGTATTTATACTGTACTTAATAAAGTACTTTTACTGCAGTAAATGATGTGAACACTTCCTCCTCCACTTGGCTTGTCTTCTTGTTGAAGTGGGTGAGAGAAGAACAAATAAACCGGGGGGAAGTCAGAGGTCAGAGGTCATCAGCTGGAGGAAAATATGTCAGCGTGTGTGTGTGTGTGTGTGTGTGTGTGTGTGTGTGTGTGTGTGTGTGTGTGTGTGTGTGTGTGTGTGTGTGTGTGTGTGTGCAATACACATGTGGGAGAATGTGTGTGTGTTTTTTCATGCTCCTGGCAACGGCAGAAAGGAAGGTCCTCAAAACATGCTATTGGGTCATGGTCTTCACAATTGCAGCAAAACATGTATAAGTGTGTCTGTGTGTAGACTGACTGTGTGTGTGTGTGTGTGTGTGTGTGTGTGTTTTAAAGCAGGAAGAAGACAGCGTGTTAAAGGCTGCAGGTGGCCTTTAAAAGATGGACAGACGTGTTTCAGGGAGTTACAGTAAATACAGAGACTCTCACTGTGAGGCGTCAAATACCAACATTTGGGAGCAGCGCCGCCATCTTTATCCATCCTTTACCATCCGTATGAGACACACAGAGACTTTAACTGACTCCAATGTGTTCCTGTCCAAAAAAAAGGAAGTCCACTGAATGTGACGCTTTGTTCGCTGCTTAAATTACGCAAAAACGCACTTGTTTTCACCAAACTATGATATCCTTTCACGTTAACCATGTATTGTGTAAACCTAACCATGAATGCACCTTTATATACGACCATT